CAAAAGAAAATATCAATAAAAATGGTCAAACTCTTGATCAATTTTTTATTTTAGAAAAAAATTCTAGTAAAGAAATGACTCAGGATAATGATTCACAAAGTTCTGAAACAGTTAATAATGAATTAGAAATAGTTGATAATTTTCAAAAAATAAATTATGATTATTTGTTAAAAGATATTGAAATCAAAGTTGATGAATCATTTGATATTGCAAAAAGTTATAATCTAAGATTAAAAGCTTTGCAATATTATTTTCAATTATTAAAAAGAAATCATAAAAAATTTGAAGCAGCAAATTTAGTTTCAAAAATCTTAAATAAAGGCCCATGGTTTTCAAAATGTATAAGAAGTTGGGGAAAGTCATTTATAGAATATGGTGATATTTCATATAAAAAAAGAGGCAAACATTTAAGAGGAAGTATTATTGATGATGAAGATGTTCAGATTAAAATATCATCTTTTTTAAGAAAGGAAAAATTTAATGTGACTGTAAATAATTTTAAAGAATTTATTGCTAAAGATGTATTTCCTAGTATAGGAGTTGAAAATGAGACAGCAATCAGGTGAGAAGAAGAATATTTTTTTTGTAAACTATTCTTAATTAACAAAAAAATTTTTTTTTAAGTTTATCAACAGCAAACAGGTGGTTGAAGAAAATGGGCTATGTATATGACAAATATAAAAAAGGTCTTTATTTTGATGGACATGAAAGAAGTGATGTGGTTGAATATAGAAGTAAATTTTTAGAGGAAATAGAGTTGTGAGTTATGAATTTATTATAACAATTATCATCTAAAAACATAATTAATCAATGCTTTGATTTTTAATATAGATATCAGAAATTAATGCCAACATTTACAGGTGATAATCTTGAAATTCAAATCAATCCAGAATTAAATGAAGGAGAAAAACTTCATATATTGTATCGAAATCAATTAAATAAGCTTCTGAAGACCTTGTAGTTATAAACTGGATAAATTTGGGTCAGCAAATTCGAGTTTTGTGCCAGAAACAGTCATTTAACACAACAATTGTACTACTTGAAAATGTATTTAAAGAGTTGGTTTTCAACTTGGTCAAAGAATAACTATCATCCTACCTCTTCTCCTGACCATATCTCTCAATATAATCAAAATAACCTTAATATAATGAATGTCAACAAAATGATTGTAAACACAATCAATATTTAAGATATACGATTAAGACAAAACATGAACGATGTATGAAAAAACAAATTTATTAATAAAAACAAAATTTACAACCCAAAAAATGTTTTTTTTGCATGTTCTAATAAAATTTCCATTGCTGTTGCATCACGTATTGTTGATTCAAAGTTACCCAGGTCATCATCAACTGTATTTCTGATATTTTCGATATTTTCGATAAACTCATTTTTGTTTAATCTTTTCGTCATACTTTCTTTTAGTGCGTTGACTTTTTTTTTTGATTTCGAATTGAAGATATCAAACATTTAGATTGGCACCTTTGTAGACAGTAATTGTAATAACCATGTCCACACGTGAGTATATACACTACAATTATTCAAATTAATATAGTTTATGTAATCGCAAAAAATGTTTGTAGATGGTTTCCTAGGAGTAACAAAGCATTTGGAAGGTAACGTTCGGTTATTTTGTAAACTAAAGAAGGTAATTTATATGAGTTAATAAATAATAAAAATTTGCGGATATTTTTTGTGGATAACTACACGATTATATTTTTTGTTTTTCGAATTTACCCAAAATCCCACATAATAATAAAATAAAAATTCATGTCAATTTGTAGCTTAGATTATCTAGAATATGAATACAATATTTTGTGATTTTTGCTAACATAAATAATTTATAATAAAATTAAAAAAATTGGTAATTTATAAAAATTAAGATAGACAAAATTTTTAAAAATGTAAAAACGAAGAGGAAAAATTTTGAGCCTTCATGAAGGTACCTAATCGGTCCTCATAATCTCCAGAACTTAATCCAATTGAACATCTTTGGAGTGAACTAGGGAGGCGATTAGATAAGTGAACACAATACCCCCAAAATGCTAATGAATTGGAAATTGCTTTACAAGAAGTGTGGTCAAGAACTACATACGAAACTTACTACAAATTAATAAAAGGCATAACTAGAAGGATTGAGGCATGCATTTCTAATGATGGATGGCCAACTAGATATTACTTTATTTCATTTTTTTATTAGTTATTTTATTTTGAATACAAATTTTACACATTTATTCATCAAAACCTAAGCTACATTTTGATAAAATTTTATGTGTAGTTATTATATGTAGTTTTGCGCAATCAATAAAAATAGGTGACCGAAAACTTTCGCCTAGGGTGTATATGAAGGAGGCGTGGAAAAGAAAAAACTAAAACCAAAGAATATGTTTTAAATTACAAAATAAAAAAACCATCAAGGCTTTTATAGAAATTAGTCATTAATCCTCCCATAATGAAACTAATATAGAAGATCTTATTACATTGGGTACTGTATAAAGTTGTTTTCCAATCCATAATAATGGTTGTTTTTGATAGAAAAATTCATCATCATTCATGGCTTCATCTAAATATTTGGAAACAAATTCCCTAGCCTTCTTCAATGCTTTTGGTATTTCCAAATTGTCAGGATAAAATTTACTGGAATAATTCAACAATCTAATACAATAACTTGTTTCTTCCAATGTTCCCATACCAATTTCTGAAACAAATCCCCAACTGCCATCACTATGTTGAGTTTGTAGACACCAATTAACCGTTTTCAAGCAATATTCAAGCAAGTTATCTTGATTCTTTAATGTAGAATTTTCTACAATTTCAGGATATGATAATAACGATAGTAGCATGTTGTTGGCTGTGAGTATTGTGTATGTTGGGCTTGAGTGCCATTTATCTGACCAAGTAGCCATTTCACTTCTATTGGCCATAATTAATTCTATAATAGTAGATATGACTTGTTGAATTGTTATTTTTTTGCCAGCTTCAGTTTTTGTTTGCATTGTAATGATATAATTGTCTTCATTGTTTCTGTATTTGTCTTTTGAATATTTTGCAAGCAGCAACCTTAACGCATGTACATTTGAACTTATGGAAACTGTTCTTTCGCCAGGATACGTCACAAAATTCCGTCCATTGTAAAATGTGGCGCCTAATTTTTTTAAGTAGCATTCAATTTCAGGAAGTATTTGGTCTATTATCCAATGACATGTCACGGTGGTATCAACATCTGCTGGAATTCTGTTATCCCATGATGTCCATCTTACAGCACCCTTTTGTAAACTGACAACATGACTTATAAATTCGGCAGTTATTTTAATTTTTTCAAGTAAACTTTGGATCGATTTATTATCTGACGTGTTGTTGTTAATGTTGTCATTGTTGTTGTTGTTGTTGTTGTTGTAAAATTTCGTAACCTTGAAACAAATTCGACCATAGATTGCATTATCCAAGCCGATTCAAATATACCAACATCACTGATAGTTGGAACATATCCAAGGCTTGTGCCATCCGCTGGTGCTTTAGCAATAATTTTTTGTAAAAATTTATAGGCTTTTGAATCCCAATTTGGTGAATTAATAAGCACGGAAGCAGTTGCAGCAGCTGAAGATCCATAACTGCCATTTATTGCTTGGAAATCTTCATTTTGAATTTTGGTAAAATCTATTTTGTTGCCAAAGGCTTCAATCAAATGAATCATTGCTACTGGTTGACGTTTTGCTGCTAACGCAAATAATGCTTCAATAGGTATCAGATTCATTTTTCTGGCATGTTCTTTAATTAATCTTTGCTCATCAGGGAATTGAAATACCACACTTGGTTTAAGATTTTCTAATTCATTAAGCATATATGGAACTATCAACTCAAAACCAACATAGTCTATTTCATCAATATTCCATTGATTTAGACTAATTATTAAGGAAATGAATGAATTAATTAATTAATTAGTAAATAAAGAATAAACACATGAGGATGACTAAATATAGAATGTATACCTACGTGATTTTAAGAAAATCTACAGACTTTTCGAAACTTGAGTTGAATTGAGACAAAGTCAACCCTAAATCATTTAATTTTTCTTCTAGATAATCACCAGAACGGGAACGGAAAAGACCAAGGACAAGTAGATCAGCAAGACAAGGTAAAACACCTTTTACGTCTTTACCAGCCCAACTACCATTATCGTCTTGATGATAAAAAAACCATTTTAAGCATTGTGGGAAAGCCAATTCGAAATCTTTTGGTAAATTGGTAGATTTATACTTTTCAGAAGGGATCATCGCCATCCAAGCAGTATCATATGATGACATCGATAACTTCCCGTATCCAATCCATTCAGTATCATTAATATCATCCAATGTTCTCTTTGCTGGCTCTTCGGGTGTCTCATAAAAATTTGGCCAAACTGAATTAGCATGATCGTTTAAAATTACTTTAGCATAGTCTATTATTTTTAGTTGTCGTTTTTTTGTTGCTTGTTCTTCTTTTAATAAATCGTCGACATTTTTATTGTTGTTGATAGTTCTAATTTTTTTTGAACAATTTTTTGTTTTTGAATGATTTTTTAAATTTATGTTGGCAAAAAATGTTTTAATAGTTTTATTCGTCTTCGAAAAAGGTGAAGGCGATGAAGATGATTTTGACTTTTCAATCTTTCTTTTGACTTTATTGTAAATAATTTTATGCATTGAAAAGAGTGGTTTTTTTAATTAATTGTTTAAAATGTTTGTCTTTTTTTTTAATTATCTAAATATATATAATAATAAATATAATAAATATATTTTTTAGAGAAAATAAATTTCTTGAAATGTTTGAATTAACATTTCATTGTTTATTTTTTTAATTTTCGATTCAAAAGATAATTAATTACATATCATCGGATTATTTAAAAGAGAAATAAAAATAGGTTTGGATGCATAAATACTAAAATTAAATTATTTAATAAATAGGTTATGGATAAAGAGGTATGACATCACAACAAAGAAGACAGCTGTTTGACGAATTAATTAATTAAGGACGTGTTATAAATAAAAAAATGGTTTTAATTAAAGACACGATATAAACCGTGTTGCATTAATACGATCTGCACTCATCATATTTTGTATGCGGAGAATATGCAAAATTTGGTATTTTCTAATTTATCACTTAAACCGTATAAGTCACAAATTTGTGACGATATTATTAATAAATAAGACTTTTGGCGGTTTATGGGATAAATGATAAACGTTCTGGATTTTTTTTTAGATTGGCTAATTGTGCGGATCCTTTCGTTGAATAAATAGAGAAAAACAAGAAAATCATGGCGAGAGCTTTATTGACTGATCATATAACTTCCAAATTATAGGACTAAGCAATATAAGATGCCATTTTGTTATCCTGATAGATAATTTTAATATATATATGTACACAAATTAATTTTTTCTGTAATAGTTATTTAATAAAATGAAAAGATAATCAATTAATATTATGTATTTTTTTTTATTATAATTATAACCGATCAAGTTATTCTTTTACCATTAAATATAATTAATAAATGTGTTTATAATTATAATTGACCAAGTTATTCTTTTAC